ATACATGTAAACTGTTGCCTCTTGGTAACCGAGATATCATGCTTCCATACAAACACCGTAATTGTCCCGGTTCATGATGAATCTTTTTCACCTTGAGGGGTACAATTTCGACGTCTATTTTCTGTACTATCCAGGGAGCAGACATATTACACTGTCGAGAGGGTTTACAGCAGTCAAGTACGTCGTATTCCCTGAGGTCATGAGCTAATCCTCTCGTATAGCGTGTCTCCCTCAGTTTCCTGGAAGTGTGTACGTCACTCAAGCAGGTCTGAACGCTCTCAAACAGCTTATCCCCTCCTTTTCTCCGCATGAAACGAATAGATACTCTAGTGTTAATGTCACGGACTCTATCACACACACTCTGTAAATTTAATTCCATTCTCATTATTTCAATCATTGCATTTCTTTGACATCCAAGAATAATCCTCATAGCCTCGTTCTGTATCAGCTCTATTTTTTGAATTCTGCCTTGGCCTGTGTAAGACAATACGGGTGCTGCGTAGTCTATCAGGGATCGAACAGTGCTTATGTATAACATCCGCAAGATAGGTACCCCAACACCTTTACCAGAAAAAGCCAGTGCTTTTAGAGGATGCAGACGGGCTTTACATAAGGTGCTGATATGATTTATTTCAGCATTTTTACTCTCACATGTGTATCCAACATACATGCCCAGATACTTGTACTTCTGTACACGGCTCAGTTCCACACCATTTAGAGTAAGTGTTATATTTCTTCGTTTCCTATACTCGTATTTGGTTTTATCTGCATTTATAACTAAGCCTAACTTGTGACAGGTTGTACCAAGTATGTTAAGAGCATCTTGAATTTTGTTCCCAGAAGTGCCTTGTATAAGAATGTCATCAGCATATATGATCGTCGTGACCCCTGGAGGATACATCTCTGATGCTAATCTGTTCATTAATACATTGAATAAGGTGGGACTTAATACTCCCCCTTGTGGGGTACCTAACTGAAACCTCCGTTCCTCAGACATGTATCCCTGGTAATACACCTGACCTTTTCTGCCTTGTAGATAATCCCTTATCCAGTGTAGCAATCTCCCTGTTATTCCCAGATTGGCTAATTCGTATAAGATTACTTCCCCATTGGCTTTATCAAACGCTCCTTGTAGATCAACAAAAACTCTACAATTGTCATCCACATTAGACAAGCACTTTAAGAGACAATCCGCAGTACTTTTGCCTTTGATAAAACCAAAGAGATTACTGGACATGTTATCACCTACAAGGTAGAGTAGCCTATTTAACAAAATCCTTTCCATCATTTTACAAAAGCAGGATATTAAGGAGACAGGTCTGTAGCCTCCGTTTGACTTAGGGATAGGAATGATGACAGCCTCTTTCCATTTTCTTGGTAACTTTCCCTCTCTATAACTCATATTAAACAAATCAAGTAAGGGATTAGGTTTCATACCGGCTAAATAATTAAGTATGTCATACGTTACTCCATCTTTTCCCGGAGCAGTGGAACTGCCACTTTTTATAGCATCCAGTAGCTCATCGTGGGTTATCTCAGTGCATGTTATAGATCTTGTATTTAAGGCACATAAAGTTACTCCATTTCTAATATTTTCCCATGACTCAATGGTGACTCTCGTGTCTGCAGGTAAGGACTCCATACCAGCAGCACTTGCCCATTTATCTACTAACTCATTAGCAACTTTCCCTGGATCTGAGTGAGCAATGAATTTGGTCTTACAACCCCTGACTTTATTTACTGCTCTCCATATGTCTTTAAGGTTCTTAGTATTACCAATGGACTGAGCAAATTCTTGCCAGTATCTGTCCCGCGCCTCCTTCCTCACCTGACTGCATTCCCTAGCCACTTCCAACATTGTATTTTTCTCTTCATCCCTCATTCCATTTTTTAACCATGCTTTATGCGCACTCCGTAGCATTCTCTCCCATCCCTTGACTTGCTGATCATTGGAATATTTAAATTTCTTAGGTCCGTGCGTCTTGCTTCCCCTGCCCCCGTTATTTTCCCTCTGTACTAATTTCTCTATGTTCTCGACCATGTCCTCGTAAAAACTATCAACGCAGAGCGGCGTGTAATGTTGATACCAATCTCCCATATTTTGAATAAAGTAATTTTTCATATCTTTCTTAATATTTAGCCTTTTCCTTTGAAAGTGGACTTGTTTTTTCCCCAGTGGTAATTCAACGTTCAAGGCAAAGTGGTCAGTAAGTAGTTCCCGAACAACCCGAGCCTCTCCCATAATCCCCTGAGAGTTTAAAACGCAGGCATAGTCAAGCCGTCCTCCCCTGATGTGAGTTGGTTCATTGTTTCCCAAGAGACAGGTATCTGGATGATCTTGTAGAAACTGTAACCACTTGACCCCATTAGTATTAATACTACCTACTGTCCCAAGGCTTGTGTGCCGAGCACACAATGGGGTGTGTGCTGGGCAGCGAGAGGGAAGGATGGGGTGGGTGCTGGCCAGCGAGAGGGAAGGATGGGGTGTGTGCTGGGCAGTGAGAGGGAAGGATGGGGTGTGTGCTGGCCAGCGAGAGGGAAGGATGGGGTGGGTGCTGGCCAGTGAGAGGGAAGGATGGGGTAGGTGCTGGCCAGCGAGAGGGAAGGATGGGGGGGTGTGCTGGCCAGTGAGAGGGAAGGATGGGGGGGTGTGCTGGCCAGTGTGAGGGAAGGATGGGGGGGGGGTGTGCTGGCCAGTGAGAGGGAAGGATGGGGGGGGGTGTGCTGGCCAGTGAGAGGGAAGGATGGGGGGTGTGCTGGCCAGTGTGAGGGAAGGATGGGGGGGGGGGGGGGTGTGCTGGCCAGTGAGAGGGAAGGATGGGGGGTGTGCTGGCCAGTGTGAGGGAAGGATGGGGGGGGGTGTGCTGGCCAGTGAGAGGGAAGGATGGGGGGTGTGCTGGCCAGTGAGAGGGAAGGATGGGGGGGGGGTGTGCTGGCCAGTGAGAGGGAAGGATGGGGGGTGTGCTGGCCAGCGAGAGGGAAGGATGGGGGGTGTGCTGGCCAGTGTGAGGGAAGGATGGGGGGGGGGTGTGCTGGCCAGTGTGAGGGAAGGATGGGGGGGGGGTGTGCTGGCCAGTGAGAGGGAAGGATGGGGGGTGTGCTGGCCAGTGTGAGGGAAGGATGGGGGGGGGGGTGTGCTGGCCAGTGTGAGGGAAGGATGGGGGGGGGGTGTGCTGGCCAGTGAGAGGGAAGGATGGGGGGTGTGCTGGCCAGTGAGAGGGAAGGATGGGGGGTGTGCTGGCCAGTGAGAGGGAAGGATGGGGGGGGGTGTGCTGGCCAGTGAGAGGGAAGGATGGGGGGTGTGCTGGCCAGTGAGAGGGAAGGATGGGGGGGGTGTGTGCTGGCCATAGAGAGGGAAGGATGGGGGGGGGGTGTGCTGGCCAGTGAGAGGGAAGGATGGGGGGTGTGCTGGCCAGTGAGAGGGAAGGATGGGGGGGGGGTGTGCTGGCCAGTGAGAGGGAAGGATGGGGGGTGTGCTGGCCAGTGAGAGGGAAGGATGGGGGGGGGTGTGCTGGCCAGTGAGAGGGAAGGATGGGGGGGGGTGCTGGCCAGTGAGAGGGAAGGATGGGGGGTGTGCTGGCCAGTGAGAGGGAAGGATGGGGGGGGGTGTGCTGGCCAGTGAGAGGGAAGGATGGGGGGGGGTGTGCTGGCCAGTGAGAGGGAAGGATGGGGGGGGGTGCTGGCCAGTGAGAGGGAAGGATGGGGGGGGGTGTGCTGGCCAGTGAGAGGGAAGGATGGGGGGGGGTGCTGGCCAGTGAGAGGGAAGGATGGGGTGTGTGCTGGCCAGTGAGAGGGAAGGATGGGGTGTGTGCTGGCACAGATATTTGGTCAACTTGGAGACGAGAGAGCAGCGTGTAACTGGCTTGTTGTTGACACAATGATTGGTGTGTTTATCTGGCCTCGTTTGCTTCCCTATTTCCCTGTTCGTATACTTTCCTCCTTGTCTGTCTGTCTGTCATCCTGCTTGATCATCTACCTTCTACTGTACTGACTTCCATGACCCTTCTACTCTCACCTGCCATTAAATTCCTCCTAAAATCTGGTCTCCTTAAGGTGCTGCTCCTTCACTCTATCTCACCCCGTCATTCCTGCTGTCATGCCTACCATTACAAGAAAGAGCACTATATCATAACTCAGTATAGGTGCATTGACACATAGTACTGTAGGTATATTTGTCACTATGACGGGGATAATACAGGGTCGTAGCGGAACTGCTGTTTGTTACTAAACAAGATTCCTTGCCAATTATTATTCTGGTAATTATTCAACTGGAGGCTTCTGGCCTCCAGTTGAGTTGTCCGGTCATTTGGTGGGTTACCTTGAGGTGCTTCCGGGGCTTAGCGTCCCCGCGGCCCGGTCGTCGACCAGGCCTCCTGGTTGCTGGACTGATCAACCAGGCTGTTGGACGCGGCTGCTCGCAGCCTGACGTATGAGTCACAGCCTGGTTGATCAGGTATCCCATTTGGGTTGGCAACCCACATGGGTTGCCATGTGGTCTAGAACACGTCGCGTCAGTGTGCTGGTTCCCGAGGTCGTCTCCCAAGCTGTTTGCAAGAGCAGCGTTTGTTTACACGTCTCGCTGCTGCTGAAGGCGTTGCTGGCCACGTGCGTGCGTGCGTGTGGGTCACGGCCAACAGCGGCAAGAGTGGCTGTGTGGAGGGGAGCACCTGTCTGCTTATTTCTCAGTTCTAGTGAGAAGTGCGGCACAACGCTTACCCCCTGGTACCTACTGCGACATAGTAACTCATAGGGAGGGGGGTAGAAATAGCCTAAGCTACTCTATCCCTTTGAGATGTATTTCTTGCTTATCTCAATAAACTTGAACTCATAGGGTTCAGGGGCCAGATTCACGAAAGCACTTACGCCAGCACTTTACGAACGTGTACATCTTTCCTCAAGCTATGACGGCTTTGGTTACATTTATTAAACAATTTACAAGCATGAAAACTTGCCATTCAACTGTTGTTATTGTTATAAACAGCCGCCTGGTGCTTCCGAGCTCATTAACTGTTTAATAATTGTAAACAAAGTCGCCAAAGATTGAGAAAAGATGTACAGGTTCATAAGTGCTTGCGTAAGTGCTTTCGTGAATATGGCCCCTGGTTCCGTGTCGTATTTCCTCATATAAAGTTATGGTAACTTCGACATAACTTCGGCAAGATCACATAATGTTAATAGACAATTGTTGGCCGTATTAAGAATAGGCTTTCTTTCCCATTTAACTTTCTGGGAGTATTCGGTTAATTTGGTGAGCGTTGAGAGAGGTGTTGTAATATTGTAGTTAGTGTTGGGGGCGGGCCGGGGCGGGGCCGGGCCGGAGAGTTCACGGTGACATGCCCACCACTAATGGTCTTGCCATCAGCCGCTTCCTAACAGTTAGGTGTTGAGTGAGCTGATCACCTGGTTTCGTGTGTGTGTGTGTGTGTGTGTGTGTGTGTGTGTTGAAGTCTTAGCCTGGCAGTGTGTAGTCTTCAGGTAGTGGGCAGAGGTCTTCGAGCGGTACTGCAGCTAAATCATAAAAAAAGAAGTTTCGTGTCAGTAGAATGTGTTTATTAGCCGCCTCTCTCTCTCTCCTCCTTCCTACTTGTCGTCGTTGTCCTCCTCCAATAATAGTACCAGCACTACCCTGGCAGGTGTGTGCAGCACTGGAACAAGCAGCAGCACCTGCATGTGTGGGAGCCGGGACTGTTGATGAATGCTGTAGCTGGCGAGATGAGAGTAATACTCCAGGTGAGAGTAACGACAATGAAAACACCTGAGGTCACTCCTTTCTTTGTTTTGCTTTAATACACAAATCTCTTGTCACTAGAAGAACAGTTGTATGTAGTGAGGATACGCTACCTTACCCTATCCCGCCCTGCCATTCTATACCTTACCTTCCTTCTGTCTACCTTGTGTAGCTTCCGGGGATCAATGGCCCCGCGGTCCGGTCCTCGACCAGGCCTCTTCATTGATGGACTGGTCAACCAGGCTGTTGGACGCGGATGCTCGCAGCCTGATGTATGAATCACAGCCTGATCTTCATTCAATGTCTTCTTCAAGAAGTAATTTCCATGCTGAATTTTTTATCTGCAAAAGATGACACAAAGCTGTGACTTGTATTTTTGTCTGTATCTGATACGGGGAGTGACGGTGTGGTGGTGGTTGTGGGGGAAGGGTTAGGGGGGATTCGGGGTTATGGTGGGGGTGGGTAAGGGGGGGGGGTTCCGGTGGTTGGTGGAGATGGTGTAAGAGTTCCGGGTTAGTGGTGTGAAGAGGTGGGTAGTGTGAGGAAGGTTGTGTTGACCGTGACCACGCTGTAATGGTTGACGGGGCACACGTGGTGGTTGTGGTTGTGGTGGTGACACCAGGGTACTCAGTGGGAGGCTTCGTTGTACACACACTCACCGTTCCGTTCTCGCCAGCGTCGCAAGAAATTCTTGCAAGAAACTGTCGTACTAAAGTGCCCTTATCCTAACATACCAGAAAACGGGGACTGTCAATTTCGCGAGCCGTTACTATCTTCTAACACGACAGTTTTTGGCCTTAGGGCAAATTATAGGTGATAATACGACGTGCTATTGGGAGGACGGGTTGGTCAGTTAGGGAGCTTCGCTGCTCTCCTCATTTTATTTACATTTTTCTCCTTATCTCTTAATTTACTCTTTATTTCTTATTGATATTTCGTAGAAGTTTACTCATTACAGTATTTTTTGCTGTCTCGTTGCATTAATATCATCTTGAGGTTATCTTGAGATGATTTCGGGGCTTTAGTGTCCCCGCGGCCCGGTCCTCGACCAGGCCTCCACCCCCCAGGAAGCAGCCCGTGACAGCTGACTACCTATTCAACCCGTTCTCGCAAATTTAATAAGTCAATATTGACTTATTAGTTGCGTGCATAGGTGACATACTTAACATAATAGTTTCCCTTGAAAAGCTTCATAGAAAACACCGACCTTACCTAACCTACTTAGTATGTTAAAATAAGCATCTTATAGCTTCGTAATTACAATTGTTACTTAACCTATTATAGGTATAGGTTAGGTAATAATTGTAGTTACGAAACAATAAGATGCTTATCTTAACATACTAAGTAGGTTAGGAAAGGTCGGTGTTTTCTATGAAGCTTTTCAAGGGAAACTATTATGTTAAGTATGTCACCTATGCACGCAACTAATAAGTCAATATTGACTTATTAAATTTGCGAGAACGGGTTGACCTATTTTACTGCTAGGTAACAGAGGCATAGGATGAAAGAAACTCTGCCCATTGTTTCTCGCTGGCGCCTGGGATCGAACCGAGGACCACAGCATCACAAGTCTATATACAAGTCACAATATCCTCATATTTTTTGTATCAAAAACTCTTGTCGACTGTCCCTTGTAAGTGGGATAGACTGAGAGGTGTAGAGAGCGCGTCCTGGTTGAGGTATCAACCACAGTAAGTCCATAAAGTCTGGGAGTCCATCATGTCTCCCAGAACACATACCACACACAACTGGAGTAGCAGCAGATTATAGTTCCCACCAGGTACAAGAGGTCGGCCGGGACATAAGAGCCCGACTCCCTGTAGACATTGGCAGGTCAGCACAGAGCGAACATAGAGCGCCACAGCCAGGTATGTCTCTCAGCAGTGGTTAAAAGACGAGTGTGTTAAGGTTTTGGATGGTGGGTGTGGAGGGAGCAGGAGGTCGCGTTTACCGCTAGACCAGTGTGGCACGCACCTCACCGGGCCATTCCTTCCTTGTTAGCTTTCCCGCCTGTGTTTACCAGCGTCATGGGAAGGGAAGGGAAGGGTGTTGGGGGGATTAGTTCCTCCGGCTTGTAGAGCGGCAAGGTGCGTGTTATACTCTTTACACCAACTCCCCCTCTCTATTTTTACACATTCTCGTCCTCTTTTTTATTTTTTTACACATTTACAACCCAGGAGAGGAGACATGGTCGCAACATACAAGATACTATTCAATAGGAACTGTGGGAAGGGTATCGCGGGAACATTATCACCATTGAACACTACAAGGTCTGTGTTTATATGAATTTATTAGTTAATTTAACTTCATTACGAATAATCTTGTGGTTCATCAAAACTACTTTACTAAAAGATTTGTTGCACTTTACTGTCTCTGTAGAATCTATAATTACTCCTTCTAGTAGGCTTCTCCTTTGGTGTTTGAGTAGTTATATACAATTCTACTGTAACTGCCCAAATATCAAGAGAGACCTACTAAAAGGGGTAATTATAGATCCTATAGAGGCAGTTTAAACAAATAGTTTAGAGACCCTGATTAATGCCTGGTTGATGGGGTTCTGGGAGTTGTTCTACTCCCCAAGCCCGGTCCGAGGCCAGGCTTGACTTGTGAGAGTTTGGTCCACCAGGCTGTTGTTTGGAGCGGCCCGCAGGCCCACATACCCACCACAGCCCGGTTGGTCCGGCACTCCTTGAAGAAAACTATCTAGTTTTCTCTTTAAGATGTCCATGGTTGTTCCGGCAATATTTCTTATAGTCGCTGGGAGGACGTTGAACAGCCGTGGACCTCTGATGTTTATACAGTGTTCTCTGATTGTGCCTATGGCACCCCTGCTCTTCACTGGTTCTATTCTACATTTTCTTCCATATCGTTCACTCCAGTACGTTGTTATTTTACTGTGTAGATTTGGGACCCGACCCTCCAGTATTTTTTTTTTTTTTTTTTTTTTTTTTAGCTGTAAAATTATTCTTAGTGAAGCTAAATGAACTAATTTCATTGTCATATAAGCACAGACCTTGTGGTGTTCGGAGTGGGGATAATGTTCCGGAGATGAGGACATTTGTTCATTCATCAGAAGTTGGGACACCTACCTGGGGACTATCCCAGGGTGCGTGAGCATGACCACCTCTAGTGAGGGACACCATGGGAGTTTCCTACCCACACGCACGCACTCTCCCACCCACGCACGCACTCTCCCACCCACCCACGCACGCACTCTCCCACCCACCCACGCACGCACTCTCCCACCCACCCACGCACGCACTCTCCCACCCACGCACGCACGCACTCTCCCACCCACGCACGCACTCTCCCACCCACGCACGCACTCTCCCACCCACGCACGCACTCTCCCACCCACGCACGCACGCACTCTCCCACCCACGCACGCACGCACTCTCCCACCCACGCACGCACGCACTCTCCCACCCACGCACGCACGCACTCTCCCACCCACGCACGCACGCACTCTCCCACCCACGCACGCACGCACTCTCCCACCCACGCACGCACGCACTCTCCCACCCACGCACGCACGCACTCTCCCACCCACGCACGCACGCACTCTCCCACGCACGCACGCACTCTCCCACCCACGCACGCACGCGCACTCCCACCCACGCACGCGCACTCCCACCCACGCACGCACTCTCCCACCCACGCACGCACTCTCCCACCCACGCACGCACTCTCCCACCCACGCACGCACTCTCCCACCCACCCACGCACTCTCCCACCCACCCACGCACGCACTCTCCCACCCACGCACGCACGCACTCTCCCACCCACGCACGCACGCACTCTCCCACCCACGCACGCACGCACTCTCCCACCCACGCACGCACTCTCCCACCCACGCACGCACGCACTCTCCCACCCACGCACGCACGCGCACTCCCACCCACGCACGCGCACTCCCACCCACGCACGCACTCTCCCACCCACGCACGCACTCTCCCACCCACGCACGCACTCTCCCACCCACACGCACTCACCCACCCACACACACACTCACAATCTTGGTTCACAGCATTGTTTACTCCACCTTGGCAAGCAACTTTCATCCGAGAATGTTGTAATAATACACTTGTATTGTCTTTTTTTACCTTTATAATTTGTATTACGTATTTTTTCCGCTATGATTACGATTGCATTTTGAAAGCAAATCTGATTTATTTACTCAGCCGCTTCCATGCACTCCATTTGACATAACACAACCTAGATCAAGTTAAAGGATTGGTTAGGTGTCACTTTGTGATGGATTACTGTACATCAGAGCCTTGCAGATCTTGCCACTTCAGATAATTTCCAAAATAATTTATATTTTCTGATAAGAACATTGAGCCAGTTCCGGCGACAGTCTCCCCCTCTTAATTGTCGTCTTAATTTTCCTCTCAAAAACTTTTTTAGATTTTAGAAAGACATTGCTTATATTCCGTTCGTATTATTTTATTAATTTTGTCACGGGAAGTAAAGAGTTTTGATATTCGAGATGTACCAACCATTTTATTTAGTGGTGTTCATGTTTTCCTAATGTTGTAACCCATATGATGTGGTTGGGACTCCTGGGTAATTATTATTATATTATTGTTAATAATAACATGCTGATGAACATCTCGCCATTTGTAAACATTGTCAACAAAACTTCTCTTTCATCAGAATGTTCCAACATTGTTTGTTTTTATTAAGTAGTTCTATACGGTTATAGAGTGGTGGGGCAAAATGGCAGTGTTGGTTGTAGATGTTTTAAAGACTAGTGATGGTCATAAAATATATTAGCTGGCAGTGATGTGCTGGGACACGTGGTGGGGGGCCGCTTCCTGTGGTCACGCTTGGACGTGTTCACGGAGCCACGTGACGCCTCCCAACGTTCCCACACTTGACGCACCAATATTTTCAAAGAAACGGAATTAGAAAAAAAAAATCTCTTATATTTTCCCGGAGTGGTTTCCTACTTTGTGGAGGTTGAGTGGAGAAGGGAGGAGAAGTGGTTGGGCCACGTGTGTAAGAGCGTCTGGGGCATGCGGGCAGCATGTAGCGGTGGGGCGGCTTGTGTGCAGTAGCATCACCCTGATTGGTCCAGGTGCCAGCAGGTTACTCTTCTCCAAGGAGGAGGAGGAGGAGTTAGATGATTCGCAAGATTTCGTATAGATGTTTTTTTTTTCCTTAGTTATCTCCCGTATGCTTTTTCTGGACGGGAATGAGGGGGGATGGTAGAGCCTAAGGTAATACTGAAGTTGGGTAATAAGTTTCGTGTAACACGGAGGAGGAAAGCGCAGATTAAATTGGAAAAATTGGACGTTGGCAGCCGGAGGGTTGGTGCGGAGGTCGGGCGTGCTGTGAGGGTCCACTTGTCTGCCAGGTGCGGCGGGGTGAGGGTGTGTGTGGGGGCGGCCTCTCCTATACTCCAACCCTCATTATTTTACCTTGTGTCTCCAGTTACGTGAAGGGGAACATGCGGGGCGTGTTAGTGAAACGCAGTGCAAGATATTTATAAGTGGTACTGTGATGAAGTACTTTAAAAAAAACAAACCTAGCCACGGTTACTGTGATCATTTGAATTTAGGAATTGTGAAGTTTGTGTAGAAAAGGGAAGTGAATGTGAGAATTGTGTGTGGTGAGGAGCACGTGGGAAGTGGCACGTGACCTGCAGTGCGTGGTGGTTGACACCGCTGCTCAACTGTGTCGTATAACTGTTATATGTTGTCAGGGATGGGTGGTGGGGTATAGCGGGCTGGCCCACCACTCTTCCCAGCCGGGCCCACATAGCCACTCTAGTGTTGTCTAGCAAGAACATGATGGCCGCAGACCATAGCATTGCTGTGCCAAAATTGCCTCGCCTCCTATACCTTTGTTGTATATTTTTATGTAATGCTGTTTTGCCAGCTGTGACCCTGGCCGTAGGGTCGCTGCCCCCATCTTTCTTTTCCCAGTATTTTTGCCAATTTTTTATTGTGTGTTAGAAGTTATAATTTTGGCCTTGTCCGTGTGGGCAGGCGAGGGGCCATTAACTAGTGCCTTGTAATACGGATATTGTGTTAGTGTTAATGTGTTCGGTGTTATGACTCGTCTACTTGTCAAATTTTGTCATTTTTTGCTCATTTTGTATTATTTGTTCTTATATATTCTGGTGTGCTTGGCACTTTGTTTTTTACACCTTTGTTCAAGTCTTTCTCCCCTTTGTGTGTGTTTCTTGGTGGTGTCCATCATTGAATGTACCCCCCCCCCCGCTCCCTCCTAGCAAGTTATATGCACCATATTGAGGTTGTATAGATGGAACCTTCTATGATGGCTGGTATGTGACAGTCATTTGTTTACTGGACGCATATACGGTATAAGTGATGAAGTAAAAGGCACTGGACAGTTATTGCTTATAACATCAACACAGTTATACTACTGACAATGTCACGATCATATCGTCAAAGATTTCTAATGCCAACACCAGCTGTGTTAGCATCAATAACTTTCTTGATGTAGATATGGGGTTGTAAGTTTAGGGTTGAGGGCAGGTTAACTAATGTTTTATTTTGTGGCTAAAAGAGTTAATTAAATTGTTTGCAACTTGTAAGTGAAAACCTTCCTGTTTGTGATTGTTGATAAACGTGGAGCAGCAGCAGCAGCGGCGACCTGTCCCCGTGTCGTGGTCCCTTGTTCTTTTGTCATCTTTACCGCTCTTATCTTACCAGGTAACGTTAACAGGTACCAGTTGTGGCCAGGTAAACTAGGCAGGTCCGTGAACAGGTTGTGTGTTTACCAACGGGGTGTTTCCTGCTCGTGCTGTCAGTTCTTGAACTACAAGTGATGCTTGCCCAAGCTTTATACAGACCAAGCGGGTGTGTAGCTGGGGACGGGGGGGGGGTGCCAGCAGGTGGACTACTACCTGGGGAGGGGGGGGGGGGTGCCAGCAGGGGTGGGTTTCTAGCTGAGGAGAGGGTGAGGGAGAGCCAAGAAAATTCGCCAACTACAGGTTATGAGGGACAAGTGACCAGGGGTACCTTACCTTACCTTACCTTACCTTACCTTACCTTACCTTACCTTAACTCTAGTGGGTGAGGGAGAGGGTTGCCGGGACGGGGGTGGTGGTGGTGGTAGTGGTGGTGGCGGCAGTGTGTGTGTCAGCAAGATATTCCTACTGGTGTTGTGGCTAAGATCAGAGCCCGCGCGACCTCGCCATGTGCTTGTGGTCCAACCTTAGCTCCATTAATTTGTTTATGCAATATGCTCTTGAGCTTTTGTAAACAGACGCTAATTTTTGTTGTTGTAACTTGCAAGATAGGCTATGTAGTTCTGCAGTGTTCTGTAAACAAACAAAACCATATTAGCAATGTTCGGGGATCATGCCCAAGTACTGTCAAGGCAACAAGTACTGTCCTTTGTAGGCCCCGTCCTCTCTAGGCCCCGTCCTCTCTAGGCCCCGTCCTCTCTGGACGCCAAACTGGCTGTGTCTGTTAATGAAGCCTTGTACTTTTTATTTTAAAGTTGTTATTTTACCTGTTTGTATTAAATTTTCACCGTGTATAGGGAACTTTTGGGAAGCCTGGTGGCTCGAGCAACCTTAGCTTCCCCAATGTTTCAACCCCACTCGATACCCCCCTTTCTCATTTTATTTTTGTACGTGTTTTATTTGACTCATTTTATTTTTTATATTTACATTTTTTATTATTTTTTATTTATATCTTTCGACATTCCTCTCCCACGCTTATTTATCTTCTTGTACGGCGGCCGTCACCCCCCGCAGCGCGCACGCTACTGGTGATTTTGTCCCTCTGGGGTTGTGTTGTCACGCTCCCCCTCTCCCTCCCCCCCCCCCTCCTCCCCGATCATCCCACTACTTCCGGGTTGTGTTGTCACGCTCCCCCTCTCCCTCCCCCCCCCTCCTCCCCGATCATCCCACTACTTCCCCATGGGTGAGTTCATGGGGGTCAAGGCAGCAGTTGAAGTCGGCAGTTTGTGGTGGAAATTGCGCATCAGTTTACTGCCAAATGTGGTGGTGGTTGGGGGGGGGGGGCGCTAAGGCCAGGCTACCAGGGGTCACAACGATGACACTATAGTGTCACTTCCCCGGATGATGGTGGTGTGCAGTGAAGTATGGTGATGTGAGGTACTTGGAGTGTCGACAATAGCGGCTTATTTGGTATCTTGAGGTTATCTTGAGATGATTTCGTGCTACATAGCCTTCCCGGCTTGGTGCCTTCTTTTGATAATTACTTTCTTACTTGAGATGATTTCGGGGCTTAGCGTCCCCGCGGCCCGGTCCTCGACCAGGTCTCCTTTTTGTTACGCATCCCCCGGATACAGCCCGTACCAGCTGTCTTAACTCCCAGGTACCTATTTACTGCTAGGTAACAGGGGCATCAGGTTGAAAGAAACATTTTGCCCATTTGTCTTCGCCTCCACCGGGGATCGAACCGGAATCTCAGGACCGCGAATCCGAAGCGCTGTCCACCCAGCTATCAGGCGCCCTGATAGCGCACATGTTTCCTCCCACCGAGTATAAGAAATGTATTACCGGGTTAAAAGTAGATGTTTTAACATAATTTGACATTCTTACAAACGACAGCTTGGCAGATAAAGTATCGCTAAATCTAGTTTAGTAATAGAACTCTGCCATCTCCTGCAAGTGTTATGGGAAAGTGCTTGCGTGCCAGGGAGAGTGGAGCTCATAAACAACATACTTACCTAACCTAACCTAACCTAACATACTTGGGTGAACGATATGGAGGAAAATGAGAATAGAACCAGTGAAGAGCAGGGGTGCCATAGGCACAATCAGAGTATAAACATCAGAGGTCCACGGTTGTTCAACGTCCTCCCTGCGAGCATAAGAAATATTGCCGAGACAACCGTGGACATTCAAGAGAAAACTAATAATTTTTTCCAAGGAGTGCCAGACCAATCGGGTTGTGGGTGGTATGTGGGCCTAAGAGCCGCTCCAAGCAACAGCCTGTTGGACCAAGCTCTCACAAGACCGGGCTTGGGGAGAATAACTACTCCCAGAACCCCCTCAAGCAGGTATCCAGCAAAGGAGTGGTTACTGATGCACGAGATCACAATAGCAACATATTTCTGTTAGCATTTTTGAAGCCTAACGTAGGTGAACTAGTGAGTAACGCATGCGTATGGGGGTGACCCAGGACACGAGTTCGAATCCATCGGCATCGAACTCGTATCACCACCAAAGATAATAAAAAAATATTTATTGATGTCTTTACCCCTTACCTTCATAGCCTTTGCACGTCTTCCTCTCACCCACCTCCCTCTCTCTCCTTTACTCTACCCTCTTCACTGGTATTTTTTCACCCACCAAGCCCTCAGTGGCAGTCTTCTCTGGTTAGTGGAGAGAGCACCCGCCCTGGAGGGCACCGTGACGGCGGTGTTTACTCTCTGGCTCAAGACGGCAGTGCCCGGGGTCACGACGCTCCACCGGAAACACGCCCTGTGCCGCCACACTCATTCCCATGCCACCCACTACACGCCCACCGAGTCTTTCCTTCCCATGCCACCCACTTGGCTCTACACTTGAATGGTTTTCAGTAATCCAGGTTTACGGGCTCACCATAGTCCGTGCTACATGGACACTTCATCCTGAGTAGCTAAATCTTTAACAACAGTAATCCAGGGTTACTATCAAAGAATCATGCAGGGTGTGGTGGTGGTATATGAAATGTTTAATAGGACATTGTAATTAGGTAGGTCCCACCACACCTGGTTGCGGGTGTGGTGGGACCAGGACGCAGTGGGTGGAGTGTGTAGGGTTGGGGGGGCGTATCCCCCTGGCGGAAGTAACAACGCGGGTTGCTGGGGTTGCCACCAGTATATTGCGTATCATTTAACACGAACTTCCCGCAGCAGGACACGCCTGTGAGGTCCCGACACACGCCCTCCTGGCAACCTCTCGTCTCCTGCCTTGACGTCAAAAATAATGTAGTATTATCAATCTTTGTGGCTAATACAATTTTGTATGGATCATTTTCTGGTGTGGGGGGGGGGGGGGCTTTTGACTGGCTCTATCATGTTGGGGTCACGAATCGCCTGGGGTTTAGGCTGGGGTCCTAAATACACCCATGAAGGCATACGGCACAGTTTTCTTTCACCTGAAACCTCTGGTCTAGTTTCACTAGGTCTAGGGTGACGCAGACATAAAGGTATATTTTAGGTATATTTTTATATACCTAAAGGTATATATTTAGGTCTACTTAGGTATACCAAATACTACCTAGGGTACTAATAATACTAGTAGTAGTAGTAGTATTAGATACTAATACTCGTAGATATTACTAAATAGTAATATACTAAGTAATATATAATAGTAATATACGTAATACTAAGTAGATACTAATACTACCTAGTATACCTAGGATATACTTGGGTATATACTTAGGTATATATTTTTAGGTATATAAAGGTATATTCCCATTTTGGTATCTCTTTCTGGCTTGGCAGTTGTGTAAGGTTTCCGCCCTCTTCCCTTTCCGGTTTGGTTCCTCCTCCAGGGAAGCAGAGCCCAGACAGTCTCCCACGACAGCCAGCAGATATTAGGTCGTCATGCCCTAACGTGCATGCTGTTATCAGGGGATCTTCCAGTACTTAAAGGACAAGGGATTTAATAATGAAACAAATACAATGCTGGATGAGTTACGAGATCCACCGGTCTGTTATTACCTCCGGTGAGAGAGAATTGTCAGCGTTAAAGGCTCATGACTTTTCAACTCTATACACAAAAGGGACATAATTAGCCGACCTCTCAGTGTTCAAAATAACTTGATAAACACCTTCCAAGGATACCTGATCAACCGGGCGACGAGTCATACGTCAAGCCGGACGCAGCCGGGTCAAACAGCCTGGTTGACCAGTCCAGCAACCAGGAGACCTGGTCTGAAACCGGGCCGCGGGGACCGGTTCCTTGGAACCATTGAAGTTAAACGGTAAGGTGCCTACGGAAACCTCCCTCCAGTCCGCTGGGCTTGTATACCCAAGTGCACGGGCTTGCTCGTCCCACAAGAGGACCGGAAATACACAAGAAATCACGTTAAAGATAATGTAATTTTCGTGCACTTGAAGAGAACCGTTGGGGGTAGAAGTGGTGTACCCAGTGCCAGGGCGCATGCGGCCAGTGCCAGGGCGCGTGCGGCCAGTGCCAGGGCGCGTGCGGCCAGTGCCAGGGCGCGTGCGGCCAGAGCCTGAAGGCCCGAGTCTGGGACACCTGAGGCTTCTACTGAAGCCCGGGACTCCTGTAGGATTCACTTGACGCCCGGGTTACATTGCCTTTGGACGTATTGCGAGTTGTTTAGGGCATATGCTTGGGAGTGCCTAGTGCACGGGTTCGAGTCCTCAGCATAGCTTTGCCGATTTTATCAGGAGAGGACATGTCAGAATTGTGGAGAAATGTCCGATAGACCACTAGAACATTATATAAGGCAGTGCAGAGTTACTAAGAAAGATTCCCACAGAGATTTAACAGTGCAGAAGTTAAGCACATGGGACATATAACCCTTTATTCTATGCAGCGAGCAGTCAACATGTCATAAATACTGATCCGCCAAACTCACAAGTCAAGCCTGGCCTCGGGCCGGGCTTGGGGAGTAGAACAACTCTCAGAACCCCATCAACCAGGTACCGCCCAAGAGTGAAATGAGTAAGACGTAACGGGCCAGTCAGAGGCTTAGGGCCCACCCCCGCAAGAGAGAGAGAGAGAGAGAGAGAGAGAGAGAGAGAGAGAGAGAGAGAGACCTCCCTCGGTTCAATACCATACCCTCCGGAGGCCCACTCCCGACCCACTTCCTTTCTCCACTTCTTAAAATCGTTTTTTTTTTTTTACTTTTATCTAACCGTTCTTGCTCCCTCCCACTCCACCCATCCACCTGATTCCCCCCCCCCACACACACATACCTGTGTAAATAGTAAACAAAAAACACACCCACATACATACATACATAAATACATACATACATACATACATACATACATACATACATACATACATACATACATACATCGATAGTGTCAGCTAGGCTTGTATTCCGCCTGCTATTATAAATTGCTCTATATTCTACATTTCTAAAAAAAAAACCACTATCTTGTATTCTCTTCCACTTCTGAACCCCCCCCCCCCCAAAAAAAAAAAATCTCTCCCTTCCCCCCCTCCCCCTCATCCATGCTGACCATTGACCACGTCTCCTCTTATATACTTTATCACGCCAACCTTTGGCACGACCTTTGACATTAGCCAGTAATAGATAGGTCATTCCTGGCTATGGCTTTTCTTAACACTTCATCATTGTCAGTTTCAACCGAATATTTGACCTTGCACCGTCTTGGTTGACCTGGTGACCTCGCTCCGCACCTGTCGTCTTTAAACATCATGTATTGACGGGGCCTCCCACTTGTAGTGATTTGATCCATAGCACTGGCCTTCCTGCTGTGACCTTGCTCGCCCTCTCCTTTACTGATGGTGTGGCGCGCTCGCCTCAGTCTTCCCTCTCTCCTCCACCTGTCCATTCATATTTATATATAGAGAAGCACATGTGGATAGTGATTACGGGCTCACCATAGCCCGTGCTACATGGACATTTTGTTCTGAGTAGCTAAATCTAAAGCAACAACAATGTGGGTAGTGATTCACAGATTAAGGAGCAAATCAAGAAGAAAATACTGCCAACTATCAAAAGTCGCCACAGAGCCAAAGTAACGGAAGGAAGATCCACTGCGATATGGTACGAACAAGCCACTGGGAACTACTCTTTCAAGCCTGACAAAAAGATATCCAGAGACATTGCAGTAGCCATACACAGACTCGATTACAAGTGCTGCTGGGAGTTAATGATCCCAATAGTTAGTCATATTTGTGAAACAAAGCAGAGGCGCCACTATTGCACTACTTACTGGAATGTGAAGCTACTGAAGCCCTGCGCATCAAACTCAACATTAATCCAACGACAGCAGCTGCATTAGATGCACATTCCACAGCGACTACAATGATTAGAAAAGCCGTTTAAGAATGGGACTCATTAGTGAACATTCTGCACCTACATCTGCCATCAAGATAATGTTATTAAAACAAGACTAAAACAGAAGCAAAAAGAAACAGGGAAAAAGGAGGAAACCCCACCTCCATTTAATACTTTGACCCAAATATTAGAATAACAAGGTTATCGCGAATAACCGAACTCAATTACGGGCTCACCATAGCCCGTGCTGCATGGACATTTCGTTCTGAGTAGATAAATCTAAAACAACAACACAGTAAACTTGTCTTTGAGATCTTGCGAAACATCCTTTGGCGTCAGACCAAAATAAAAAAATGTGAAAATGAACTTTGGAGTGTTAATTTTTTCAACTTCCCTCGACAGTGAAGAAAAACATCAGAAATAGTGAGAAGATTTGTGTTATAATCATTAATCTAACCTTTTCGGTCATATTCAAGAACCTGAGCCAGTCGGCTGAGCGGACAGCACACTGGACTTGTGATCCTGTGGTCCCGGGTTCGATCCCGGCGAGAAACAATAGGCAGAGTTTCTTTCACCCTATGCCTCTGTTACCTAGCAGTAAAATAGGTACCTGGGTGTTAGTCAGCTGTCACGGGGTTGGAGGCCTGTGGCCAGATTCACGAAAACACTTACGCAAGCACTTACGAACGTGTACATCTTTCCTCAATCTTTGACGGCTTTGGTTACATTTATTAAACAGTTTACAGGCATGATAATTTCCCATTCAACTGTTGTTATTGTTATAAACAGCCTCCTGGTGCTTCCGAGCTCATTAACTGTTTAATAATTGTAAACAAAGCCGCCAAAGATTGAGGAAAGATGTACAGGTTCGTAAGTGCTTGCGTAAGTACTTTCGTGAATCTGGCCCCTGGTCGAGGATCGGGCCGCGGGGACACTAAAACCCCGAAATCATCTTAAGATAACCTCAAGATATGATTACAACAAAGACTGGTACCAAAATATACTATTATATAGAGAAGTGTACCCCGCTTCTGGCCGAGGACCCCAGAGACACGTGAAGGTGCTACACCACCACAGAACATGTTGTTGTTGTTGTTGTTATAGATTCAGCTACTTGGAACAAGCTCCAAGTAGCACGGGCTATGGTGAGCCCGTAACTTACCTGGCACAGGAGCGGCGCTGTGCGTGACTGTGGAAATTGAACTGACCAAATAACACATTCACTCCAAACATCTAACATCTGCGGGCTACTCGTGCCCGTGCCACCTCTTGTGGTGGCCTTATCTTCATCAATCAGTCTGCTTCTCGTTGTGTATACACAGCGTTTGTTTACTCCAGAAGTAAACCATGTTCAGGGTTGAGTTATACATTAGTCTCATTAGTGTCATGGCGTTGGTAACATTGGAGTAGGATAACGCTATACTTGGTCCCTTTCGATATTCGCTGTAGCCAGGAGAAGCTCGGATAACGAGAGCCGGATATGAGCAAGTTACATGAGGAAGGCGCGTGGGGATTAATATGTATTGACTACTGGAGTGATCCTTTCTCGTATTGTGTTTACTCACCTATTTGTGCTTGTGGGGGTTGAGCTTTGGCTCTTTGGTCCCGTCTCTCAACCGATCAGTTGTTGAGACCTATACAACTGATGTTAGTATAGATGTGGGCCTACGTGGGCTTCATCGTAGAGTCTGCCGTGTTGTCTCTGGTGCTAAGTGGTGGTGAACACGCTGCCCATTCTCTTCCCACTCGTGCCGCTGGAGGTCCGGTACCTCGTGCCGCTGGTGGTACTTGTGATCTTAAAGGTGAGACGTGCCACGCTGCCGTTGGTGGTGTTGCGACAGGTGGTGGACCAGCACGCAGGAAATACTCAAACCTCCCGGGTGGATATTAATTAAAGCAACTACTCGCTCAGTTCGGTTCTTAAGAGCAGTGTGTCATTATCTCGTCAAAGGGCCCCTGTAGGCGTGTTGTCGAGGCACGCGTTCCCGGCGCGACCTCCACTCCACATAGCGGGGGTGCCACTGAGCTTATAATTAATACTTGATAGCTTGCGGCTGCTCATGAATACTCCCCAAGTTGAGCAACCTCCAGTGTTACGTCAAGAGGTGGCCACACACGGCAAACACGTCTGAGCATATCTTGCCTACCTTAATATGTATTTGGATATGTTGTTATAGATTCAGCTACTCGGAACAAATTCCAAGTAGCACGGGCTATGGTGAGCCCGTAACTTACCTGGCACAGGAGCGGGGCAAGAAGCACAGGCTATGGTTAGCCTCGAGGTGTATTTGGATAGTCAGGCTTTGGGTATATAGTAATATTAAGAGGGATACTTGGCGGTGACCTGGATAGTCGGTATCCCTATCCCAGTCCCCTCCCTCATGTTTTTTGTTAGCTCATTTAGATACATCAATATTTGTGCAGCTTCTCTACACTATACGAACAAAGGGAGCTGGGCGGCCGAGCGGACAGCACGCTGGACTTGTGATCCTGTGGTCCTCGGTTTGATCTCGGGCGCCGGCGAGAAATAATGGGCAGAGTTTCTTTCACCCTATGCCCCTGTTACCTAGCAGTAAAATAGGTACCTGGGTGTTAGTCAGCTGTCACGGGCTGCTTCCTGGGGGTGGAGGCCTGGTCGAGGACCGGGCCGCGGGGACACTAAAAAGCCCCGAAATCATCTCAAGATAACCTCAAGATATATGAAGGGGGGAGTATAGTGTGTGTCAAGAGCTAGCTAAACATCTCTCTCACACAGGATGGTTAGGCAGTCATACAGGATCATGTGATAAGTAGTCTGCACAACTTGACAAACGCCTCCAAAGGATACCTGATCAACCAGGCTGTGACTCGTACGTCAGGCTACGAGCAGCCGCGTCCAACAGCCTGGTTGACCAGTCCAGCAACGAGGAGGCCTGGTCGACGACCGGGCCGCGAGGTCGCTGAGCCCCGAAATCACCTCAAGGTAACCTCAAGGTAGCTAACTCTGGATGCGAGAGAGGTCATGACCCAGTACTGTACCTGCTTAGTCTGCACCCCCTTCATTACTTACTGTATTCTAAAGGGGAGGGAGCACCATTCAGCTTGACCCGCTCTAATTTGGACTGACCTCTGACCCCTTAGACCGTTCACCCCTGCAAAGCTGGGAGATGGTAGCACCAAGCTACCAACATTGGATAGATATTCTCTTATATAGATAGGCCCGTTAATGGGTGTACCTTGGCGTGACCTGTGTGAGCGTCTGTACCGTGTGGATGGCAGGCACACTACACCACTACACTACACTACCGTTCGCAGGCAGTTTCCTTGTTGTAGCTGGCTGGGTAGTGGGTGACTTAGTGTGTTGGTCAACATTAAAACACCGTAAAAGACAATTTCCTGTTCATCGGCCTCGATGGGCTCGCACGTTTCTAGTTTGGCAAAACCGTTGCAGTTTTTACTGAGGATAGAGTGAGAGAACGCGAGACGCCCTCCGTGTTGCCTAAGATGTATCGGTGATGGTGATTGTTGAGCACTATCACCGGTACATCCGATTGTTGATAGTGTTGTGCCCAGGCTTGCCAGTCTTTGTCGCCTGGAATAACGTACCCTTATGCGTGACGGATGGGTCTCTTTGTTTTTGTACACTTATGAAGGTAAAAAGAGATCACTAACGTGCACGGTGTGTGTGTGTGTGTGTGTGTGTGTGTGTGTGTGTGTGTGTGTGTGTGTGTGAGATGAGTACTGGACTCTTAACACAGGTCCTCCTCACCTTGAGCTTGTGGGATGAGCTGGACAGGTGACCTTTGAATCTCGGCAGACTATCCAAGGATTGTCTCGTGTGGGGAGGGAGGGAGGGAAGGACAGTCCCCTGTATATACACTGCACTGAAATTAAAATTTGTGTACGGTGTATGTGTGGCCCAGCTGCTTGTTTAAGTTGTGTATATTAGGCTATAGCAACTGTGATTTACATAGTTGCACGAGTCGAACGATAACAGTTGTGTTGAAGGCTTGGTGAGGACAGTTTGGTAGGCGAGCCTCGTCCATGGCGTGACTGGGTGCTACTGGGCCAGTGAGGGAGGGGGGCTGTGGAGGATAAGATTCCAGTGGGGCGGGCGAGGCCTGGTGGTGGGGGTGTAGTCTATGCCCTGGTGTGTATTGTGATGGTTTGAGGCCAGAGACAGAGGTGTAAGGAAGATCAACTTGCGGGGCTACCCTACCGTAGAGCATGTAGGTAGAGGCAGGCGTGCGTGGCTAGACGCCACCAGGCAGGTAGGCAAGGTGCATGTAAACATTGAGGGGCAGGGAACATTTGGCCAGGTGTGTTTATGCTGGCTCCAGTGCTCGACAAGTGATAAATAAAGCCGAGGTAACGTTACCACCAGTCGTAACTGAACACCTTATTTGCTCTCCAGTTTGTGTGGTCACTTGATCGTTGTGATGTATAAACCAGAGGAACTTTATGATAATTAGACTGTAAAGTAGTAGTCAGACCAGTATTGGACACGTCCCAAAATGTGCTAGGTAACCTGTAGCTTACTCTTGCCTGGTAAGTTGACGGAGTGACCGGTGAAGGAGCAGCGGGATGACCAGCCGTGGTGAAGATAGGTAAGGTGGAGGGAGGGAGGATCGGCGGGGAGGGATAGAGGGGGGGGGGGGTGTCGGCGGGGACGGAGGGTCGACGCGACACGACCACTGGCCAGGTTCACTGCCCCAGGACTGCCCCTCCATCCACCCCCACCGCCCCCACCTCTGGCAGGAACCACTGCCACACACCTCATTTTCACCCAACTTCATTATAGACATCAACATCTCCCCTCGCTACTTCCTTCAACCGTCCATAAACTACATGTGAGATTTTCCCGAGAGGTTCAGCTTCATACAGTAGAGGGAAGTTGTAGAGTTGTGCAGGTGGCCTCACTCTCCTGCTGCTGCTTGTGGAAGGTGTTGGGTGGCGCTCAGGTGCGGGCGTGTCTCCGGGCACTTGAGGAGACTGGTATTGGGAACAGGTGTAGTCTTTAACTTTTCGGGGCTGTCACTGCGGCTCCTTCACAGTCACATGGGGTTTTCTCATACATACATACACACACACGTAGGGACCTCGCGGCTGAGTGGATCACTCTCTGGGGTCGTAGTCCTAAGGGCCAGGGTTCGATCTCCAGTAGAGGCAGAAACAAATGGATAGTTTCTTTCACCCCTGGTGCCTAGCAGTAAATAGGTACCTTGGAGTTAGACAAATGCTACGGGCTGCTTCCTGGAGATGTGTGTGTGTTGGAGAGAAATATATATATATAATAAACGTTGTATAGAGGAAAAATAAATTGGTTAGAAAGGCGGAATCCAAGAGCTAATAACTCGATTCTGCAGATACAAATAGTAAATACACGCGCGCACTCGTGTATGTGGAAGATTAGGGGGGAGGGGGGGAGTGGTGTATTGTCTCCCCCAGGTCCTTCAAGTTGACTTGTATATACTAGCGAGTGACCGGCCGTCTGTGTCATTAGTGAAGGGCGTCACGTTCCTAGAGAGAGCCCAGGCAAGTTGCTCCCAAGTGCTGTCCTGACTTAGTGGGCTAGAGGGAGGGGGGGGGGGCATATTAGGGGCGACATGAGGACACCAGGATCGTGTGGATGGGGGGGGGAGGGTGTGGTAACAGGGCACACTTACTGACAGACGTGCATGCTTCCTCACGTGCCCAGACCTGCAGGCGTGTTAAATGTCGTAAGAAGCTGTATGTATTTATATTGTCTTGTTACAGCCGCCTGTTCTTGTAGCAACCAATGCTTGGATCATTTGGTCAGCACACTGAATTTAGAATAAGTACAGGAACGATTTTACAACTGAAGGGTAAGTCTTCATTTTAATTTTTCCAACACGGGTAAATCTGGATAAACAGTTGTATTAAAATCTTTATTAGACGGAACATAGTTAGCGCTTGCGGACGAGCACCACAGGATCCCTGCATGCTTGTTATATATTATAATTACTGTACCAGCGTGGTGCCCCATGTGGAGAGGAAGTGAATCTTCAGATAGACGCAATACACTGGACTACAGGTGCCTCGTACTCAACCCTGGCCGCACTCGTGAAAATCAAGGCTGATTCACATGTTGAATTGAATCTGGTAACTAATGCAAAAGAGCCGATTTACTGTGAATCCTGTAGTCGGCAGCAAAGGTGTGTAGAGAAGTCACATATAAACGAATAGCAGTGCTACAGTATAATTTTCAAATCCCACAATATTCATGCTTCTGATACTGCGCCAGTGGGCCCAGCCTTTGGTTGAAAGTGGAGTCTTTGAATATTTTGTCTGGAACACCCGGAGATGTTACGGAGATGGGCGCCATGTGACACAAGTAGGAAAGTCTCCTGACAGTCCACAAGTGGGAATGTAAAGGCATAAGAGGAGATGGTGTCTTCAAAGGCGTTGTGGTCGGTGTCTGGAGAGTTGTGCACGAGTAAGGTGGCAGAGTTTATGTGTGTGGTATATGGTGACCCGTGTCTTGTGTTCATGGTGGTGAGGGTCAACATTGTCAGTCGTGTCCTCGGCACACTCCTTCGTCCTGGGAACCCCAGTAATCTTACTCTATAGATAAAACAGTTGACCAGACCACACACTAGAAGGTGAAGAGACGACGACGTTTCGGTCCGTCCTGGACCATTCTCCACAATCGACTCGAGAATGGTCCAGGACGGACCGAAACGTCGTCGTCCCTTCACCTTCTAGTGTGTGGTCTGGTCAACATACTTCAGCCACGTTATTGTGACTCCTCGCCTGCATATAGATAAAACAGGTTTTGTAAGACTTTGTCACATTTTATACTGAATATGTAATGTTGCTTTTTGTATACAGTATTTATAATGATAGTACTGGACACGTTGAGGATGATATAAGAGAGTGAAGGTGGACGTGTCCCCTACAGCCTCCACCGGGTGAGCTCGACACATGGACGTGCCCACACATGCGCGGGGGATGATTACATTCTTCAGGCAATGTCTTCATTCACCCCCTGTCTCCACACACTGAACCTTCCTGATAGATATATATGACCCAATAAGGCAGGAGGCTACGGGCTCACTATAGCCTGTGCTACATGGACATTTCGTTCCGAGTTCTTAAATCTAAAACAGCAGAAACAACAGGAGGCAGCAGTCTCATAGTTGAAGACTGGCTATGGTATCCTTAAGCAAGGGCAGCGCCTCAGCCTTCAAGCCAACTTTCACCCCCATAGCTTGAACTTTCGTGTGTGTACAAGATGTTAAGAAGGTGATCCCTGTTAGGGTGATAATGTTGGGTTGACGATGTGGGATTTTATAGAAATTTTAATGATAGTTTAGGAGGATGGTTCATCAGAAATTCTCTGAAGAATTTGCCATGAAGCAGCAACATCGTGTCGGTGGAAATATGGAACTACGGAATCTAAACAATTTCAGAAAGACTGTTATTAGTTTCTTCCCAGTCGCAGGTTGTCTTAGGTCCCTGCTGTATCCCTGGATACCATCACGCCGGTAGTGAGTGTTGTCGTCGTCCGACACTGGGTGTGTGGAGGTGTCGTCATCCGACACTGGGTGTGTGGAGGTGTCGTCGTCCGACACTGGGTGTGTGGAGGTGTCGTCGTCCGACACTGGGTGTGTGGAGGTGTCGTCGTCCGACACTGGGTGTGTGGAGGTGTCGTCGTCCGACACTGGGTGTGTGGAGGTGTCGTCGTCCGACACTGGGTGTGTGGAGGTGTCGTCGTCCGACACTGGGTGTGTGGAGGTGTCGTCGTCCGACACTGGGTGTGTGGAGGTGTCGTCGTCCGACACTGGGTGTGTGGAGGTGTCGTCGTCCGACACTGGGTGTGTGGAGGTGTCGTCGTCCGACACTGGGTGTGTGGAGGTGTCGTCGTCCGACACTGGGTGTGTGGAGGTGTCGTCGTCCGACACAGTTTCCTCAAATAGTTAAGGACATGAAGGATGTGCTCCGGTGCGGGAGTGACCGCCGGTGTTCCTGTGGGCCTCATCTTATCGACGAGGCCTTATACTCCTCCCACTGATTTTTGTAATATTGTTATAAATACTTTATTTTGTTTTCACCGCCGAGAGATCGCACCGTCACGATGCCAGACAAATTCATTCTAAACCAATCAATTGCATTTGCTTCAATTGAATTCTTATCAGCCACTGGTCGAACTATTCTTGCAGCTTGTCAGCGTGTAGATTTTTGAAGTGATCCACCGCGTCTGTCCTCGTTAGGTTCGTAAACCAAACTGTATTGTAGTTATTAGATGCCAGTGACCCGTCTGACACGACACCGGTGAAAGTATTGATCTATGTTGATACCTGGTTAATACCTGGTTGATGGGGTTCTGGGAGTTCTTCTACTCCCCAAGCCCGGCCCGAGGCCAGACTTGACTTGTGAGAGTTTGGTCCACCAGGCTGTTGCTTGGAGCGGCCCGCAGGCCCACATACCCACCACAGCCCGGTTGGTCCGGCACTCCTTGGAGGAATAAATCTAGTTTCCTCTTGAAGATGTCCACGGTATGTGTAAGCATTGATTGATAAGGAGGTATGAAATGCCATCTGGTTGCTCGTTGACGTATATTATGAAGATAAAGCCTTTGTGGTAATCTTATTAGTGACTATCATCTGATGCTTTGTTACTCCATTATTCATTGGTTGGAATTATCCTGTCGCAAAGGTCTGCTTCTGTGTCTCCTGGAACTACTTTTATGTTGACACGTACGTGTGTGTGTGGGGGGGGGGGGGGGGGGGGGAGGGGGGGTTGTGACCCGGAAAATTGGTGACATTGTTTTTAATATCCTACTTTCTCTGTGGTTCCTGTCTTCACTCACTCTCACGGGAGAGCACTGTGAAAGCGAGCACCGTAGGGGAGGATGAGGGGTGACGAATCAGCGGGAGTGGTGATATGAGTGACTGTACTTTCCCTGGTCATGACGTCTGGAGGAAATGCCCAGATATCTTGTGGCGTCATTTTCCTTCCCTCTTGCCCTAATGGTGGTGGTGGAGGGGGGGGGAGGATAGTATTTAGTGTCTAGACTTGTCTAGACGCGTCTAAAGACTCCCACCACTGCGTTATTGTTACCTAACCAATCACCCCTCCCCTTCAGGTCCCTGTAGTCAGTGTTTGGCAAGCACCATTGGCCATGCGAATAAGACCTAAATTGTGGGTGTTACTCTGGGGCGAGCGCGCCACCCACCATGGGTGTTACTCCGAGGCGGGCCACTTTCATCCTGAGATTTGTCTAAATCAGTGTTAACAGTTGCTAGAGTGGTGACCTTTCGCCTCTGTGGACAGTCCTAATCACAGTCTTGAGAGTACTAACCCTGGCTCCCTCTTGATACCTCTTGATACTCAAGCAGCCTTGACTAACTTGTAAAGTAGTAGTTTTAACCTAACAAAACAAAAAAATAACGGACTGAAGACCTTGGGTATTGGGCTGAAATAAGCTAGGCATTTCAGCCCCTTGTTGTCCGCCAGTGGTTTTAAGCGTGTACTGGACGAACAAACTGTGTATAATCCAGCCCTGTGCAGAATTTTATAATGTTATGGAATGCGAATTTGAAAGTTTGTGTTATACATTTTTCATTTCTTTATTATGCACCCCCATACCCATCCCGTGGGCGGTGGTGGGAAAGGGTTAGAGAGGAACATAATGGGTTCAGGAACTGAAGCCCGCAGTGTGTTTAGCTAAGCAAGTGACATTACGAGTGAAGTGACATTACGTGACGCGTTTGTTGATATTCGTGAAGTGATGTGTATTAGCGCCATGACGATACTCGACCCGTCTAAATAATGTTTGGACCAATTATTATGTTGAGAGGCGTCAGGTTGTCCATAGTGACGAAGAGTGGTATTTATATAGTTGGGGGCGGGGGGTTCTTGTTGTACTGATACACAGCCTACGGTACTGTGTCACACCCTCTTCTGTGTCACACCCTCAGCCACACCTTAAACAATACCCTGGCGTCCCCTTCTACATTATGCTTGCTAAATGTATTGGCGATTTCAGATTTTTTTAAGTAAGGGTGTAATATAATCGAAAGAATTGTTAAAGATGTATTTTACCTTGAACTTTGATGACCAAAGGATTTGGTAAGGAGGAAGAGGGGTGGGGGGGGGGTTGATACACTAGAAATACAGCATCATTAAACCTTGAGTTATGTATAGAACACATGAACCATGGGTTCTATGAAGGCACGTTAGGCGCGCTGGCATTTGTCGCAGTCGATAATTTAAAAGTGACTAGTTTTGTGCGAAAAGCTTCATTAAAATATCCAATCCCGCGCCCCCCCCTTTATCCTAGTGGGGGGAGGGGGGTTGGGTGGGCGTGTGGCGGAGGGCAGACAGAGGGGCGTCAGTGTCCCAGAGAATAAACAGGTCCTCTGCGGCCGGGGAAGACGCCTGCTTGCCCCGCCTGTGTGTGTCTGTGTCTCTCTCCATCACTCCCACTCCCTCCAGGAAAAGTGTTTTAATGTCTGTTCTCTTTTTAAAGGCTTCTGATTTGTTAGTGGTAAACAAAGGATGCTGCCACGTTCCAGGAATGTGAATTAGTTGAGTCCGTAGAGACTATACACTCGAGGGATGCTGCTGCTTTCGGTTGATATAGTTGGCGTATTGTGCGAGTGGTGAATAAGAACAGATCTGGCGGAAATAGTGGTTGCGATAGAGGGGGATAGATGGATAGATTCACCTCCTCCACCACTCGCTCCTCGCTAGTCCACACGCTGTGTGCGCTTCACCACCACGCGGATTTCTCGTTCCTGTGAAAACTGGCGCCTCCACCTGCTGTGAAAATTGGTGCTCCTAACTGTGACTCCTCTTTCCTCCACCTGCTCTCCACTCTGACCCGTCGCCCCTCCACACTGTGGCGTTGAGGAGCTCCTGAGTGCACCTCACACATCTAGACCGTCCTACCTCGGCTCATAGTTCAAAGTTAATGAAAGTGTAGTGAGAGAGACGCGCCCTGGTGTGTTGTAATTCACCCGTGCCTCTCTAGGTACTAGTGGCCCCTTTTTATTTGAATTTGTCTGTGAGACCAGAATGGGAATGTCCGAGCAATTGGCGTGACTAGCACGGGGGCCCGTCCCTGGTGGTGTGGAGACGGGGGAGGAGTCGCAGAAGAGGGTAGCAGCGACGGAGCGACAGGTGAAAGAGGTAGGCGAGCTGTGCGCCCATGCCCGCGGCTGGTGTCTCACGCTGCCCATCATGGACTTCTGGCAACACTTCTTCGGCTTCTCTCACGAGAATAACAACGTGCCCGTCCACCCGACTCCTGCAGGTGAGTACACTCCACGCCTCGGGTTGCTTCTCCTCCTGTCTTGTTCGAAGGCTAGACGGAATCATCCTCAGCCTAGTCCCATGGATGAGGCTAGGCTGAATCATCCTCAGCCTAGTCCCATGGCTGAGGCTAGGCTGAATCATCCTCAGCCTAGGCCCATGGCTGAGGCTAGACTCTTGTTGGTGCCCCTTGGCTGAGGACTAGACTAGACTAGGCTGTATGGGAAGATGCAATAGGGAAGATTGGAGCTCGGTTGCCATAGTTTAAATTTTGCCCCGAATAGGGGCAAAATTTAAAAAAAAACTCCCCCAATATGAAGAAAATCCGCTGGGTTGTTCATCCTGTCACTTGTACCCAAACACAGCTGGGACTTGCTTAACTGTCTCAAGTGAACAGCTCCTCAAACAAGAGCCATAGTCTTGTGGCGACAGAATATACTAAGAAAAGATGACTAAAGTTTAATCTCGAGAATTGCGAATATATCTAATGAAAATACTTCAGACAATTAGATGTAGATTATATTTAAAAGGCCTGGAGTAAAGGGGGAGTTGTGACTGAAATGTTCAAATGAATAGTTTAATATTAGAATATAAATTGTTCTGAAATACCTGCCCATTATAGTACATTATATTAAAATTTTAATAGTTTAGATTTAGCCAAGAAATAGGTAACGCTCTTGAAACTGGGATGCTATGTAGTCTGTTGCCAATTTATATAATAGGCAGAGTGAACGGAAAGTTTTCAGCATCGGCTTAGCAAGTTGGCTACACGAGTGGGCGTAATTGGGTATGTAGCTCTCCTAACCTACCAAAGGACCTAAAACAGAAAACGGGACACTACGTCACTTTCGCCAGCCGCTTCCATTTTCAAGTACGACAATTTTTTGCCTTGTGTAACGCCTACGCGCGAAAAGCGACGTTCTCTGCAAGATGACAGGATGCAGACCCATTACAATAATACTAATTATTATTATTATTTATTATTTCATAGAGAGTAATGAGGGTTTCTGGCACTACAGGAACTTGTCTGATAGTTTTATTTGAGTTCATCATAATTCTGCGCCTTTAATGTCGGCTAAGAGCACGTGTACTCACCTAGTTGTGCTTGCGGGGGTTGAGCTCTGGCTCTTTGGTCCCGCCTCTCAACCGTAAATCAACAGGTGTACAGGTTCCTGAGCCTATTGGGCTCTTATCATATCTACACTTGAAACTGTGTATGGAGTCAGCCTCCACCATATCACTTCCTAATGCATTCCATTTGTCAACCACTCTGACACTAAAAAAGGTTTTTCTAATATCTCTGTGGCTCATGTGGGCACTCAGTTTCCACCTGTGTCCCCTAATGCGTGTGCCCCTTGTGTTAAATAGCCTGGTTTTATCTACTAACTCTTCTGTCTTCCAGCGAAGTGAGGTTTAATTCCCGTAGTCTCTCCTCGTAGCTCATACCTCTCAGCTCGGGGTACTAGTCTGGTGGCAAACCTTTAAACCTTTTCCAGTTTAGTCTTATCCTTGACTGTGTGTGTGTGTGTGTGTGTTGGGGGGGGGGGTGCGCATGTTGAGGTGGTTAAGGTGGTAAATAAACCAGGGGGAGGTGCAGGGTTGACCTGGGGTTAGTGTGGTCGGGTGCTTCACCCCTCGGGTCGTGTACTCCTGTGTGTGGTGGCAGGAACGCTGCTCTTCCTCCACTTGAATTACTTTATAGCAATTAAACGAGCCTTTTTCGTGATAAGCCGCCAGAGACGGTTATCTTGAGATGATTTCGGGGCTTTTTAGTGTCCCCGCGGCCCGGTCCTCGACCAAGCCTCCACCCCCAGGAAGCAGCCCGTGACAGCTGACTAACACCCAGGTACCTATTTTACTGCTAGGTAACAGGGGCATAGGGTGAAAGAAACTCTGCCCATTGTTTCTCGCCGGCGCCAGGGATCGAACCCAAGACTACAGGATCACAAGTACAGCGTGCTGTCCGCTCGGCCGACCGGCTCCCCTGGTATTAACATGTGATAATCTTAATGGCACACGTTATTTTGTTTCTCTCATGGCCGGGGTTCCTTTCCCGTGTCCATTACGTGCTTCTCTAACCCTTTCCGCCACCGCCGACGGGATGGGTGTATGGGGTCCACCACCGCCCACGGAATGGGTGTATGGGGTCCACCACCGCCCACGGGATGGGTGTATGGGGTCCACCACCGCCCACGGGATGGGTGTATGGGGTCCACCACCGCCCACGGGATGGGTGTATGGGGTCCACCACCGCTCACGGGATGGGTGTATTGGGTCCACCACCGCTCACGGGATGGGTGTATGGGGTCCACCACCGCTCACGGGATGGGTGTATTGGGTCCACCACCGCTCACGGGATGGGTGTATTGGGGTCCACCACCGCTCACGGGATGGGTGTATTGGGGTCCACCACCGCTCACGGGATGGGTGTATTGGGTCCACCACCGCTCACGGGATGGGTGTATTGGGTCCACCACCGCTCACGGGATGGGTGTATTGGGTCCACCACCGCTCACGGGATGGGTGTATTGGGTCCACCACCGCTCACGGGATGGGTGTATTGGGTCCACCACCGCTCACGGGATGGGTGTATGGGGTCCACCACCGCTCACGGGATGGGTGTATGGGGTCCACCACCGCTCACGGGATGGGTGTATTGGGTCCACCACCGCTCACGGGATGGGTGTATTGGGTCCACCACCGCTCACGGGATGGGTGTATGGGGTCCACCACCGCTCACGGGATGGGTGTATTGGGTCCACCACCGCTCACGGGATGGGTGTATTGGGTCCACCACCGCTCACGGGATGGGTGTATTGGGTCCACCACCGCTCACGGGATGGGTGTATTGGGTCCACCACCGCTCACGGGATGGGTGTATTGGGTCCACCACCGCTCACGGGATGGGTGTATGGGGTCCACCACCGCTCACGGGATGGGTGTATGGGGTCCACCACCGCTCACGGGATGGGTGTATGGGGTCCACCACCGCTCACGGGATGGGTGTATGGGGTCCACCACCGCTCACGGGATGGGTGTATGGGGTCCACCACCGCTCACGGGATGGGTGTATTGGGTCCACCACCGCTCACGGGATGGGTGTATTGGGTCCACCACCGCTCACGGGATGGGTGTATAATACACGAACTAAACTTAAAATAACGATCTGCTAAAAGATGTGCTGGTATCTTTGATAGTCGCTATTTTATTATTTTTGTTTAGCTTTATATTTCTTTCCCTTTGATTCCGGATCACGCGTGCTCATTCACTCGTGTGAGTGAGGGCAGCGAGGTGTGGCACTCTGGCCCCACGCTGGGAGGTCTCGCGGCTGAGTGGACAGCGCTCGGGGATCGTAGTTATAGTGGCATGAGTTCGATTCCCGGCCGAGGCGGAAACAAATCAGCAGTTTTTCACCCCTTATCAACTCCTCCTTTTCTGCTTCTTTATCATACTTGCAGTAGTTTTGAGAGGGGGGGGGAGGCTCGCTCCCAGAGCTGAGCCGCACTTAGCCAGCCCATCCTCCTGTTTTTTTTTTTAGCACTTCTAGGAAGGATGAGGACCATAGTACGTATACCGACATACACGCATGCATTTCTATATAGTACGTGTGTGTGCTATATTTGTTAGTTTTTTAGCTTCATTGTTTAGAACTCTACAAAGAGTATAGTACAAAGTTATACGATGCAATTGCTTCGTAGGTCAATGTTTGTATTATGGTGCAGAGTGTTACACACAGTACTAATATATATATATATATATATATATATATATATATGTCGTACCTAGTAGCCAGAACTCACTTTTTGGCCTACTATTCAAGGCCCGATTTGTCTAATAAGCCAAGTTTTCCTGAATTAATATATTTTTTCTAATTTTTTTCTTATGAAATTATAAAGCTACCCATTTCATTATGTATGAGGTCAATTTTTTTTTTATTGGAGTTAAAATTAACGTAGATATATGACCGAACCTAACCAACCCTACCTAACCTAACCTATCTTTATAGGTTAGGTTAGGTAGCCGGAAAGTTAGGTTAGGTTAGGTTAGGTTAGGTTAGGTAGGTTAGGTAGTCGAAAAAGCATTAATTCATGAAAACTTGGCTTATTAGGCAAATTGGGCCTTGCATAGTAGGCTGAGAAGTGCGTTCTGGCTACTAGGTACGACATATATATATATATATATATATATATATATATATATATATATATATATATATATATATATATATATATATATATATATATGTAGGAGGATGGGTTGCCTTAGCCCCCATCACCACATTTGGGTACACGGGCGGATCTCGCTCACACCTTGAGTGAGGCTACACACTAATCGTCCAGCAACAATGGTTTAAATACTAATTACTTTCATGGTCTTTTCTGACCACTAACTTCCTAACTGGTTTAATGAACAGAGTTTGTTACACAAGGACCGTCCTAGGTGTTAAGTATTTTGGTGTACAGGAGTTAACCACTGTTAACTTTGTATCTCTGGTGTTAGCGATTTAATTGTATCCACTTGAAAATCTTTTAACCTTTCCGATTCCTGTTATTGCTTTTCCCTTATGGTGTAGATTTCTCATGGTCTCCCCCCCCCCAGCCTTACACTTATTCGGATTGAAGTTTAAGAGCCATTACCATGTCCACTCCTGGAGTTTGTCGAGGTATTCTTGTAACCTGCCGGCCTCATTGGGTTTTTAGATTCCTCATTAACGTTGTGCTCTCTACAAATACACACATGTACGACCTCACTCCTCATGTTGGTCATTCACACCAGTTAGGAAGAGTAATAACCATATGATTTTCACAATCGACTTGAGAATGGTCCAGGACGGACCGAAACGTCGTCGTCCCTTCACTTTCTAGTGTGTGGTCTGGTCATCAGTGATCGAACTTTGTGGCGGGGGGGGGGGGGAGGAGGCCATCTTGTTACATTCCTCCAGTTGGCAATTATATCTCTGAATGTGTTTTGTCCTCCTGGTTCCTCATTATTCAGTTCAGT